TAAAATATAATTTAATATTTGCCCAAAGTTAAAGAACAAGGTCACCAAAGAAATGTGAGTTCTTAAAAAGTTAAGAAAAGATAATTTCATCTTCTGAAAGAATGAATATTTGGAGAAAGGATTTGAATTTAATTCACAGGTTTAAATAAGTTACAGCATTTTATTTCATTTTTCCAAGTTTGTAAATTTTTTTGTTAAAAGCAGATATAAAATAGATACACTAAAGCTGGTGCTGGAGCTCTGGTGGCCTAGTGGCAAAAACTTGTACTTCAATCCGGAAGGCAGGTGGTTCTAGTCTACCAGCTGCTCTGTGGGAGAAGGATGGGCAATCTCCTCCTGTGCAATTAACTGCCTCTGAAAACCCACTACAGGGTCAGCTATGGGCTACTTCCAACTCGATGGCACACAATAACAATAACAACCCTAAAACTTAGGGCTTTTAGAACCATATATACATTTCCTCATACAAGTAAGGAAGAGGTTATCGCTGGTTTAATGGAAGAATTCTTGTCTTCTATGTAGGAGAGCTGGTTGATTCCCTCAGCTCGTAAGTAGCCAGCACCCATCTGTGTGGAGGACCGTGTGGTGGTAAGGTGATTCTGAACAAGGTTCAGTGGGGCAGTCAGGCCAAACAAACGAGGAAGAGAGGCCTGAAAACCAACTTCTGAAAACCACCAGTGTCGATGGGGCCGAACCACAACCTCAACAGCACAGGTCAACGGACCTATCCACAAATGATCAGGGAGCTGGACAGAACCAGGTGGCATTGTTATGACATGCGTGGGGTCCTCATAACTGGGAGATGACAACAACAACAGTGCAAATAAAGACTGTAACCTCATGCTTCAGCCGGCAGTGTGGCCTTGAACAGTCTCTGAATTAATTCTCAGTCATCTATAACAAGCGAAAAATATAGCAGGAAAGTTTTCTGAAGTAATCTCCAGTCTTCATGCATTTCTGACTGTTTACATCATAAGAATAAACTGCACTGACAAAAGAAACACAAAAAACTCCAAGGAGAGAAATGAAAACCAAAAAGTGCTTCTTATTAATTTAATAGATTCAAATATTTTTCAGAAATTTTCTCCTTTAGATACAGATTATTATCTGTAAACATAGAATATAACAATTTCACATTGCTAATTGTAGTAAACCTGATATGAATAAAATGTAGTTTATTGAGCACAGACTGTGCTGTAGGTACTATGGAAATGCCTTTGTGAAACATTTTATACTATGATTATCCACATCTATAAATAAGGGATTTTAAAGTTAAAATAGTTCATTACTTTTGCCAAGTCCTGATAGATATTAAATCATGTGGTAAAGATTTAACTC